ACCCAGTTAATTTTAGTAGAGACAGGGTTTCACCATGTTGCTCAGGCTGGTTTCCAACACCTGACTTCAGGTGATCCGCCTGCCTCAGCCTCCCACAGTGCTGGGATTACAGGCGCGAGCCACTGTGCCCGGCCCAGCCTCTTCTGGCAAATGGGGAGGCAGGGTCTGAATCAGGGTGGCCCCAGGGCTCCCTTCCACTGTGGGCAGCAGAACCAGGCTGACCACAAGGACAGATGTGGTCCAGGTGTGAGCTGCCCAGCACCAGGTTCTCCTAGGTGGAGCCTAGGGCTCAATGCCTTCCCATATGGGCCTCTAAGGGTTTGTCTTGAAATGCACACAGGGCAGGATAGGATCCCCCACGCTGCTGCTGCCCCACCCTGGAGGGCCCTGGGGGTGAGGGGACCGCCCGCACAGCCCCCATCTCCCTCAGCTTCCGTTAGTGAGGAAGTGTGAAGCCACTGGGCCCAGGTCACTTCCAGATCTGACTTCGTAGGGAGAAGGTTGGGTGGAGGTGATCACACCATCGGGGGTGCAGGCGGGGTGACCACGGCATCGCGGGTGCAGGTGGGGTGACCACAGTGTCCGGGGTGGAGGCGGGGCGACCACGGCATCGGGGGTGCGGGCGGGTGAGAGGCTTCACTCCCCATTGGCCAGGCCTCGGCTGGGGGCCCTGAGTCGGGGACCAGGGGGCTCCGGCGTCTGTGCCCTTCCATGGAGAAGCAGCCCCCGCAGGTGGCTCTGAAGCCTCCAGAAGGGACTGTGCTGATCTTCCAGGATCCCCTTATCAATAATCGTCCTGTCGGTTCCCCACCCAGCCTGGCATTTTCCTTCTGGGACTGGAGACTCCGGGGGTCCCTGCTGGGCTGCAGGGGTATTAGGACTAATTTTATTAACAGTATTTATAGGGTCCAGCCCTACAGGGTCTGTGGGTTTTTCTCCTCATGTGTGGAGATGAGAGATCATAGAAATAAAGACACAAAACAAAGAAGAAAAGACAGCTGGGCCCGGGGGACCACTATCACCTAGACGTGGAGACCGGTAGTGGCCCCGAATGCCTGGCTGCGCTGATATTGGATACAAGGCAAGAGGGGCAGGGTAAGGAGTGAGAGCCGTCTCCAATGACAGGTAAGGTCACGCGAGTCACGTGTCCACTGGACGGGGGCCCTCCCCTGTTCAGCAGCCAAGGCAGAGAGAGAGGACAGCTCACGCCATTATTTCTTCTCTGCATTTCAAAGACTTTTAGTACTTTCACTAATTCTGCTGCTGCTATCTGGAAGGTGGAGCCGGGTGTACAGGGTGGAACATGAAAGTGAAACAGGAGCGTGACCGCTGGAGTACAGCATCGCAGGGAGACGGTCAGGCCTCCGGAGGGCTGTGGGCGGGCCTGACTGATGTCCGCCCTCCACAAGAGGTGTGGAGCAGAGTCTTCTCTAACCCCCCGGGGAGTAAGAGCAAGGATTATTATGATATTAGAATAAAGAGTAATGCTACAAACTGATTATTAATAACATCATCATAGCTATAATCCATTTCTAGTATAACTATTCTTATGTATTTTCTTTATGATACTGGAACAGCTCGTGCCCTCGGTCTCTCGCCTTGGCACCTGCGTGGCTTGCCGCCCACAAGTATTTTCTCATGAGAAGAGCTTTAATCCTAGTCTGAAAATAATCCTAACAACATTAAATCCACACCAAAGTGTCCAGAAAGACAGCAACTTGATTGCCATCCCAGGAACGTACCTGCTTCCCAGAGTCCTTCCCGCGTGCCGGTCACAGACCTGTCCAGAGGAGGTTGGGAAGGAGCATGCCCAACCCTGGAGGGCTGGGAATTCCGGCAAGAGGTGACACGGAGGCAGGAGGCGGAGCTGGAGCCTCCCCGCGGTGCAGACCCCCATCCTGGGGTGCAGGCAGACCCCAAGCTCCACCCCTCTGGGCCCTCTCTCTCTGGGAAGCCCCTCGAACTCCGTGGACCGTGAGGACGTGGGAGGCGTGCCTGGGAGCGACGGGGCTGGCTCCGTGGCTGGAGCTGAGGGGAGGGACGCAACCCCTCCCAGTCCACATCCACATCCACATCCACAGTGACGCTTCGCACCAGAAAGTACCAATGAAAACCTATCAGGATGGTGGCACCTTAATTACTGGAATTCAAAACCGTGGCCCGACCACGTAATAGCCACTGTGAAAGGATGTGGGGAGTGCTTAGAGCGGTTTTGTTTTTGTTTCTGTTTTTGACACATTTTCGCTCTTGTTGCCCAGGCTGGAGTGGCGCTATCTTGGCTCACCCCAACCTCTGCTTCCCAGGTTCAAGCGATTCTCCTGCCTCAGCCTCCCGAGTAGCTGCGATTACAGGTGTGCACCACCACGCCGGCTAACTTTTTGTATATTTAGTAGAGACAGGGTTTCTCCATGTTGGCCAGGCTGGTCTCAAACTCCTGACCTCAGGTGATCTGCCCACCTCGGCCTCCGGAAGTGTTGGGATGACAGGCGTGAGCCGCCGCACCAGCCCAGAGCCATTCTCTAGTTAGGGGCCTTCACAGGAGTGTGGCTGGCAATTCTGAAACTAATTGGTGCACAAATGAGCAGAAAGGTAGTGTGCCAGAGCCAAATTTTCAGAGAAGCTACAAATGAGGGGGAGACTGGACCGAATTCTACGGAACGGTGTGGACCTGTGGCTCTAGTGCATGCAGAGGGCTGTACCACCATGCACCGTGGTGGCTGCAGACGCCTCTTGGCTAGCGGCACGCAGCACTGAAGCCCACACTTTGTACCCAGGTCTTGGTTTTCTGGTTGTTTTGAGACAGGGTCTCGCTCTGTCACCCAGGCTGGAGTGCAGTGGTGTGATTCTCACTCACTGTAGCCTCAACCTCCTAGCCTCCCACATAACTGGGACCACAGGCGCATGCCATCATGCCTGGCTTATCTTATTTTTTGTAGAGATGGGGGTCTCACTATGTTGCCTAAGCTGGTCTCCAACTCCTGAGCTCAAGGGACCCTCCTGCCTTACCTCCTGGACTGCTGGGATTACAGGCGTGAGCCAGCACGCCCAGCCTCCAGATTCTGGTTTTCTAAATACCATTCCCCAACTCAAAGGAAGCGGAGCTTCCTGGAGAAAGGGCTGATTCCGGGGCTGGGGCAGGGAGGGACCAAGATGAGCCGAGAGCCTCCTGCAGTGCTGGGGGTCAGCCCGTGCCAGGGTGGGGGAGGCTGACCTAAATGCCGTCAGTACGACACTTCGAGTCACAAAGTCAGCAACAGCAACCACTGCAGCCCACGCCAAGAAACAAACAGGTCCAGATATAAATAATGGAGAGTGGGGGAGGGGTCCTCCTTAGAATCCCAAATAGAACCAGTGATTTCATTGACGCCAGGGCAAAGTGGGTTGAGGTCTGCACGACCTTCAAGGATCTTCCCAAGAGGAACATGAATTAAAAAGGGAAAATGAGGCCAGGCGCGGTGGCTCACGCCTGTAATCCCAGCACTTTGGGAGGCCGAGGCAGGCACGTCACCTGAGGTCAGGAGTTCGAGACCAGCCTGGCCAACATGGTGAAACCCCGTCTCTACTAAAAATACAAAAATTAGACGCGTGTGGTGGCGCACGCCTGTAATCCCAGCTACTCAGGAGGCTGAGGCGGGAGAATGGCATGAACCCGGGAGGCGGAGTTTAGTGAGCCGAGATTGCACCACTGTGCTCCAGCCTGGGCGACAGAGTGAGACTCTGTCTCAAAAGTAATAAAGGCAAAAAGCTAACTTCCCAGTGGAGACGCCTGAGGATGCCGCTGCACCCAGTGGTGAAGGTCACAAATTCACCTGCACCAAGACACGGACGCCACACCCCTGCCACCGAGAAGTCATGAAGACCTCCTCACATTGTGGGAAAACCGCACCCCCGGGCAGAGGACAATTCTACAAAATAGCAGCCAGCAGGTTTCAAACCATTCAGGTCACGAAAGAAAACCGAGGAGCTGTTCCAGATTGGAGGTGGCAGCACCAGGACGTGCAGCGGGGACGTCAGACCAGAGACTGTCAGGAGCACCACGGTGCCCAGCAAGTGTCCCGGTTTGGCCGAGGCGCACAAAGACCATGTTATACAAATTTTAAATTATTTCAAAATAAGAACCTAACACAGGAGATTCTGTCGGTTTGGACGGGGTCTGAGAATGAGCACTGCCGTCTGCCCAGCCCCCCGCAGTGAACACTCCAGGAGCCCGTCCTCAGTTGTGGGGAGATGGCCACATCCAGAGGCTCACCCAAGGCTCCAAAGCAAAGCTTGAGAAAGTTTCCAGGGATCCATTTGTTTATTTACAACAGCATTCTAGGAAAAAGGTGAACAGGCCCCTCTCCCCAGTGCCCAAGAGGACAGGACTGAGGCAGCCCCCACCCGGCCATGGCTCTGCAGAGCTCTGAGCCCTCCCCAAGGCTGTTACCCACGACGGACAGGACGTTCTCTCAACGCCAGGGTTGATTTTGGGGAGGCTGGAGGGAACCACATCCAGGACCTACCAACACCAGCCCCTCCCTGGGGCTCCCAAGTTCTGAAAAAAAAAAAAACACCAAACGCAGTGAGCCAAAGTCGGGGTCTCCACGCTCCTGCACGTAACAGCCACGACACCGCTGCGGCCTCCGTGTGGGCTGCGAGGGACGGGCAGGACTGAGGGGGCGGGGACCACACTCCCCACCAGCCGCCCACCACCTGCCTTTTCTACTTTGGCAAAAAAACAAAAAATCCTGGAAGCCTCAAGACAATGACGTAAACTCTAGGAAATGGAAAAGACAGCAGGTCCAAAGCCCCTCAGCCTCCCAGCAAGTCCGTCCCAAGAGCTGCTGGCAGCTCTCCAGGGCCACACTGGCAGGTTGTCCTCAAAGGAGCCCCAACCCCAGCCCAGCTGAAGACGGCTCTCCTGAGCGCCCTTCACCAGCTGCCGTGGCTTCCACGCTGGGCAGGCACCCCGTCGTTCGGACGGCACAGGCGACACAGGCAGCATCGTGCGAAGCGAGGCCCCGGGGACAGGTCCTCTGGGAGACCCAGGCTGCCCACTGGGAGGAGCTGCAGACACATCTCTCAGACTGCGCCAGCCCGCAGAGGGGCTCTGCCGAGGAGACAGACAGCACAGCCCACGTGGCCAAAGGCACCTCCAGAGGCAGCAGCTGGTGAGGATGAAGACGGCAGGGTGGGCACACTTGGATGTGGATCTGGGTGACAGTTCTGTCCCCATGGACTGGGCAGCTTTAGGAACTGAGGGAGCGCAGGAGGCCAGGGGGCTCAGCCAGCTGGTAGGGGCAGCCGAGACCCCACTCCTGGAATCATGGAGGAGGAGGGTGTCATTGTAAATGCCACCAGGATGGCGCGGGGTGGCACCTGACATCCCCCAGCACACACAGGCCTGTGGTACCTCCTTGGGCTATGTCTGTGCACATGGTGGGACCTCCTGCCCGCCGAGGGGGTGTGGAGAGGCCTCAGGGAGTTGCTTGGCAACAGGGTAGCCCTGACCCCCTCTGGCTGATGAGGAAGCAGCGTGCCTGCTGCCCCAGAGTCTGAAGGCCCCCACAGTGCTGGGAAAAGCCCACAGGGCCCCTCCTGGCCTCCCCGCTGTGGGCCCAGAGTCACAGAAATCACCCCCACAAATTTGCAGAAACTCAACACCAGGACGCAGACCCACCGCCCAACCTAAAGGAACAGGAACACCCTGCGGCCACGCAGGCCTGGCAGGTGAGACACACAGAGTGGCTGCCGGTCACAGCTCCGCAGGGCCAGCACGAAGGCAAGACGCGGTGGGGCGAGGACAGGAACCTTCCAGCACACCACGGGGCAGAGGTGGTGCACTGCGGCGGGGCACGGCTAGTTCCTCAAGGCGGCCAACCTGGAAACCAACAACACGACTCGGGTCAGGGCGGGGAAAGGGGTCTGTGAGCAGCACGTGCTCCCGGTGAAGGTGCCTCCTCCGTGTGGTGTGCAGTGACCCTTTTCCTCCTCGTGTCCTGAGGGAACGAGTGACAGGCCTTGGAAACAGACGTGCCCGTCCCACTTTTACCTGATCCGTTAGGAAGGGCGCAGTATTCTAAAGTGCACTGCAGATGTGCGTAGACGCCACGCCCGACACACACTGAAGCCTCCAAGCCAGCTGGAGCAGGATGGGGCAGCAGCGGGCGGCTTGGCTCGGGGGCAGCTGCGGCCGGGGCCTCTGAGTTGAGATCAGGGCTCGCTGGTCGGAGCCTTAGCCCAAGCTCTCCTCCAGCCTCTAACCCCAATGCCCTCTCCCTTCCCACAGGACCAGAGTGCGGGGCACACAGCGTTTCGGGGACCGACCCTACCTCCGTGACAGCTGGTCCTCCTGGCTGCGCACGGAGCTCTCGCCCACGGCAGAGGCGCCCTCGGGCAGCTGGCTGAGCTGGTCCAGCACCTCCAGGCCATTCTCCTCAGCGATCTGCATGATGAGGCTGTCCACCTGCTCCTGCGGTGTGGTCAGCGTGGTGGCCGAGCTCATGGAGTCCTCCATCACCTGGGGGCAGGGGCACGCTCTGGACAACAGGTGGGGCCCAGGCCCACGAGGCCCCACTCAGCTTCACAAGGGTCCGACCACACTTTTCGTTCCCTCACACAGCCAGCCACCTTCTTGCCCTGTTCTCTCAGTGACTCTCTCTGCCTCACCTTCCGCCAGGAGCCTTTCCTGCCCCCACACCCAGCCCCACCCTCTGACTGCGCCATGCCTGCTGCCTTGGCTGGACATCTTTCTACACCTCTGCATGCTTGTTTGCTGTCTGAGCCTCCCCACAAGGAGCCAGGTGCCTGCAGGAGGCTGCTGCCACCCTGCCCACCCTACCCGTCAGGGTCCTGGCAGGGACCCAGCACAGAGGATGCTTGGTGACGTCAGGGAGCAACCACAGGTATGCAGAGACAGCACGTCAGCCTGTGGGCCACCCCCCATGAGCTGCCCACACAACTCCATGTCCCCAGGCCACAGCCCAAGGGCAGGGCACATACCGACGTGTGGACGTCCAGGTTCTGCACCTGCTGCTCGAACCTGTCCATCACTGAGGAGACCTTCTGTAGGTCCATGGTGCTCAGGGCCTTGTCCAGAGCTTTGGTCACCTGGGCCATGTTCTTGGTCACCTGAGATAGGAGAGGGTGCAGGAGGGAACGGGATGAAAGGCAAGCGGAGCTCACGCACCAGGGATGGGTCCCCTGGGCTCTGACAGGAGAGTTGCGGCACCCCAGCCCTGACCCACAAAACCCCAGCTCTGGGCTGAGCCATCATCTGGGTCCTGTGGAAAGACCAACTCCACGGAAAAGGCTGTGGAGACCCAGGGCGGGGTCCCCGGAGAAAAAGCTAATGACGTGGGGTTTCCAGGACCGCTGTGCTCTCCTGGCCACCCGCACTGTGGGAAGGAAATGCCTGCAACAGCGAAGGCTCTGCTGTGATGTCCCCTGACCCAGCAGATGAGCCTGGCCATGCAGGCTCCGTCTCTTGTGGCAGCTGCCAAGACCGAGGCCTGGCCGGGCACAGTGACAGTGAGTGGTTCACGCCTACAATTCCAGCACTCTGGGAGGCTGAGGTGGGAGGATTGCTCGAGGCCAGGAGTTTGAGACCAGCGTGGCCAACACAGACACCCTGTCTCTACATAAAAATGAAAAAAATCAGCCGGGCGTGGTGGATGCCTGACATCGTGGTCTCAGCTACCTGGGAGGCTGAGGCAGGAGGATCGCTTGAGCCCAGGAGGTTGAGACTGCAGTGAGCTGAGACTGAACCACTGCACTCCAGCCTGGGTGACAGAGCAAGAGAGCCTCTAAAAAAAAATATTAAAAAAAAAAGCCCAGGTCCTATCAAAAGGTCCTTCCTGAGGCATCAGTGCAAGTGAGGGTGCAGCCTCACCCGTGTCCCCGCCAGCACTGCCCACCCCATGCTGACCCAGCCTCACCCGTGTCCCCGCCGGCACTGCCCACCCCATGCTGACCCAGCCTCACCCGTGTCCCCGCCAGCACTGCCCACCCCATGCTGACCCAGCCTCACCCGTGTCCCCGCCGGCACTGCCCACCCCATGCTGACCCAGCTTCCCGCAACTCTGAGCTGCCCCAGATCCAGACCGCAGAGCCCATGTTTGCCTCAGTTGGCAGATGCCACCCACCTGGCACCAGGGCCCAGCACTCACCCCCTTCATGGTCACGGCCGTCTGCACCTTGGAGGCCACTGCGTCTACGCGGGATGCCATCCGAAGCCAGTTCACACCTTCGTTCTTCTTGCGGATGGCGTTCTCGGCATACACACGGGCACACTCTACATTTTTCTGCTGAAGGGCCTGAAACACGGGGAAACAGCGGCTGGAAGAACTTGGTGGTATGTGTGCCCCCTGCAGAGGAGCCCAGTGGGTTTTTTTTTTTGAGACGGAGTCTCGCTCTGTCGCCCAGGCTGGAGTGCAGTGGCGCGATTGCAAGCTCCGCCTCCCGGGTTCACGCCATTCTAATGCCTCAGCCTCCCGAGTAGCTGGGACTACAGGCGCCCGCCACCACACCTGGGTAATTTTTTGTATTTTTAGTAGAGACGGGGTTTCACCGTGTTAGCCAGGATGGTCTCGATCTCCTGACCTCATGATCTGCCTGCCTTGGCCTCCCAAAGTGCTGGGATTACAGGCGTGAGCCACCGTGCCCGGCCGCAGGAGCCCAGTGTTGACTGCTCCTGGACGCCACTGGCTAGGGTGGGCGGGCCTCTCCCCAGAGATGCTTGAGCTAAAAATGCAAACACTCAGGCCCCAGCCCAGCCCCACAAGCAGGCTTCTGCTCCCTGCTGCACCCCTCCAGCATTCCACCGGGCACAGGACACAGCGGGCGACACCCAGAGCCTGTGGCAGGCAGTTCTCCGAGCTCCTTTCTCCCTGGGAACCTGGTTGTGGGTGAAGAATTATCGAAGTCCAATACCCTGGGACCTACTTCACCGATTATGCAGTCTTAAGAGCTGCACAAGATCCCATCTTCTTTTCTTTTTTCTTTCTTTTTTTTTTTTTTTTTTTGAGACGGCGTCTTGCGCTGTGGCCCAGGCTGGAGTGCAGTGACCGGATCTCGGCTCACTGCAAGCTCCGCCTCCCGGGTTCACACCATTCTCCTGCCTCAGCCTCCCGAGTAGCTGGGACTACAGGCGCCTGCCACCTCGCCCGGCTAGGTTTTTTTTTGTATTTTTCAGTAGAGACGGGGTTTCACCGTGTTAGCCAGGATGGTCTCGATCTCCTGACCTCGTGATCCGCCCGTCTCGGCCTCCCAAAGTGCTGGGATTACAGGCTTGAGCCACCGCGCCCGGCCCTTCTTTTCTTTTTTCTTTTTGGAGGTGGAGTCTTGCTCTGTGGCCCAGTATGGAGTGCAGCGGTGTGATCTCCGCTCACTGCAACCTCCACCTCCTGGGCTTAAGCAATTATCCCGCCTCAGTCTTCCGAGTAGCCAGGACTACAGGTGTGAATCACTGCGCCCGGCCTAGATCCCTCCTTTCCTTCTGCCCTGTCCATCATGGGGAGGGGGCCCCTCCTGGAGAGGCACCCCTGTGAGCCTCCTGCCCCCTCCCACCCCATGATGCCCTAGGCACCAGCTCTGTAAGGAGGAGGGAGAGAAAAATGATAGGATCCGCCGGGCCTGGTGGCTCAAGCCTGTAATCCCAGCTACTCAGGAGGCTGAGGCAGGAGAATCATCTGAACCCAGGAGGCAGAGGTTGCCGTGAGCTGAGATGCACCTCTGCACTCCAGGTGGGTGACAGTGAGACTCCGTCTCAAAAAAAACAAAAACAAAAACAAAAACAAACCAAAAGATAGGATCGTGGCAGGCAGCTAGCTAGAAGCCCTCTTCCTGTACTTTATGGCAAAATCAAGTTCAGAATGTTGGAAATGGAAAGAAGGAAAAGAATGAAGGCAATGCACTCATCTCTATGCTCTGGACGCCCTCGGTGGGCTGGGAAGGTCTGGCGGGGGCTATAGAGCAGGACAGAAGCCACTCCGGGCTCCACCACACACAGCACCTCCCTTCCTGTTTGTCTCATGTGAGAAGCAAATACTCTGAGGCTGAGAAATCATGGTGAGGATTAGGCTGGGCACAGTGGCTCATGCCTGTCATCCCAGCACTTCTGGAGGCCAAGGCGGGCAGGTCACTTGAGGCCAAGAGTTCGAGACCGGCCTGACCAACATGGCGAAACCCTGTCTCTACAAAAAAATTTAAAAATTAGCTGGGTGCAAGCCTGTAATCACAGCTACTTGTGAGGGTAAGGCCCTGGAATCACTTGAACCCGGGAGGCGGAGGTTGCAGTGAGATGAGATCGCACGTCTGCACTCCAGCCTGGGCAACAGAGCGAGACTCTGTCTCAAAAAAAAAAAACAAAACGTATATATACACACACACAAACACACATACACACACACATATATATCAAGGTGAGGATTAAATTATGATGTAGAAAGTGCCCTGCCCCTCCCCAAAAGGCATCAAAACAAAACAGAACAGAACACAAAAAAAAGGGCAGAAGAGGACAGAAGACAAACCAGGAGAGTCATGACCCCACGGCCCCCAGGGTCTCACCTTCTTCACTTTGGCCTGCTCTGCCTTGGAGTCCTTCTCCGCCTTCTTGGCCAGCTTCTCCAGCTGCTTCGCCGTGAACTGAGCAGAAGCCACAACGTCCTGGGTCAGACGCGTGGAGCCCACCCCCCAGGCCTTGCTCTCCACACCCCCACACCTGTGCCCACACAGGTTCTAAGCACCCATCAGCCAGCCTGGGCCCAGCACACGGCAGGGAAGGCACGAAGCCTGCGGACGTGCATCCCGGGCGGCGAGAGAGCACCAGCTGGAGGAGGAAGCCGTCTGCTCTGCCTCAGGTGCTGTTTGGGTTTTCTCCAGTGTCTCTTTTCCGTGAACACCCTCACCCAAGGCCTCCTCCAGAGCGAAGGGTCCGAAACCTCTCGCTCTGGTCTCATCCCCTGCTCAGAGATGGATTTCAACGTAAAAGAAAGACTCAAGAAAACTCATTTCAGGCTACCCCCAAGTCGTAAGATGGAATTCCAGGTAAAAACACACCTGAAAATGTTATCTTGAGAGAATGCTGTGGATGCAACAGGTTGCTGGGCAGCACACACAGCTGCTGGGGGCCTAACTGCTCTGCCAGCAAAACAAGGAAACAGGGCCTCTGGCGACCCATCTGGAACCACAGACGCCACAGGGTTCAGGACGGCCAGCACAGCGCCACAGGGTTCAGGACACAAGCAGGCCTCAGCGGGTCCCCTCTGCGCCCAGCAGCATCTGACAGACCCACCATGATGGCAGAAGATCCCAGGAGCTCAGAGCCATCGACAAGGCAAGATGAAGCTGGCCACGGAGGAGCAGCCAGGAGCACATCCCAGGGAAATGCACAGAAACCTGCCCGGGATTACTGGAAGCTGCAACCACCACCCCACATGGAAGGAATACTCAGAAAGCTCTGCTTCAAATGATCTCAAAGAATGAGTCCACACAGCGGAACGCCAAGGCCTAATATCCAAGTTGTCTTTCTTAAGATAACACTCCGGGCCGGGCGTGGTGGCTCACGCCTGCAATCCCAGCACTTTGGGAGGCTGAGGTGGGCGGATCACGAGGTCAAGAGATGGAGACCATCCCGGCCAACATGGTGAAACCCTGTCCCTATTAAAAATGTAGGCCGGGCACGGTGGCTCAAGCCTGTAATCCCAGCACTTTGGGAGGCCGAGACGGGCGGATCACGAGGTCAGGAGATCGAGACCATCCTGGCTAACACGGTGAAACCCCGTCTCTACTAAGAAATACAAAAAACTAGCCGGGCGAGGTGGCGGGAGCCTGTAGTCCCAGCTACTCGGGAGGCTGAGGCCGGGGAACGGCGTGAACCCGGGAGGCGGAGCTTGCAGTGAGCTGAGATCCGGCCACTGCACTCCAGCCTGGGCTACAGAGCGAGACTCCGTCTCAAAAAAAAAAAAAAAAATGTAAAAAAAAATTAGCCAGGCGTGGTGGTGGCGCCTGTAGTCCCAGCTACTCAGGAGGCTGAGGCAGAAGAATCACTTGAACCTGGGAGGCAGAGGTTACAGTGAGTTGAGATCGCACCACTGCACTCCAGCCTGGGCGACAGAGCGAGATGCCATCTCAAAAAAAAAAAAAAGGTAACACTCCGTCTTTCTTTTTTTTTTTTTTTTTTTGAGACGGAGTCTCACTCTGTCGCCCAGGCTGGAGTGCAGTGGCGCGATCTCAGCTCACTGCAAGCTCCGCCTCCCGGGTTTACGCCATTCTCCTGCCTCAGCCTCCTGAGTAGCTGGGACTACAGGCGCCCGCCACCGCGCCCGGCTAATTTTTTGTATTTTTAGTAGAGACGGGGTTTCACCGTGGTCTCGATCTCCTGACCTTGTGATCCGCCCGCCTCGGCCTCCCAAAGTGCTGGGATTACAGGCGTGAGCCACCGCGCCCGGCCAACACTCCGTCTTTCATACATGACCCTAAGGATCTGCCTCCACTTAGCCTGATAAGAGAAGAGCTAATATGTCACCAAGCTGGCTCAATAATCCCCTCCTTGGTCAGCAGTCTGAGCCCTGTGTGGTGGTCACTCAACTATTACATCATCTGCCCAGCTGTTTCTGTGGCTCTGAGTGAGTGTGGCTTACACTGTCTGTCCTCACCAGAACAGGGCTGGGGTGAACGGCCGTTCGGTACATACCTTCAACTGGAACAGGGTATCTGCAAAGAGAGAGGGAATGGTTTGAGGATTGGGAATGGGATGTTACACTTCTAGCAGGCGGGACTTACTCGGATCCTTCTAGACACCAGGAGCTAGAACACAGACACAGACCACACCTGCCTGGGGCCTTCGGGGAGCCCCCCAACAAGGGAGGCACAAGACAGATTCGTGTGCCAGCCCTGGCCCCTTGCTAGCCACAGGCCCAGCGAATGCAGACGCTCCCTCCTGTTGCCTTGTTAGGAACATGAGGACGGCACCAGTCAATCTTAGAGGGTTAGTGTGAGGACGGAAGAGGTCGTGGACGCAGCATCTTTTGGCCATGGTTAGAATCCAAAAGATGGTGGTTTATAATTAATGCAACTTTGCAAAAGCCCCTTGGGATTCTTTCCCAATTTAAAAGTTCACCTGGAATCCCAGCACTCTGGGGGGGCCGAGGCCAGTGGATCATTTGAAGCCAGGGGTTTGAGGCCAGCCTGGGCCAATTTAAAAGTTCAGTACTTGACAGTTCACTTTTTAGACTCTTTCTCCCCAAAGGTAAATGGATAAAAATAGCAAGGTGGTAACTCTTAGGCATCGAAGAGCTGATTTCCACCGGGCAGTCGCTCAAGCCTGTAATCACAGCACTTTGGGAGGTGGAGGCGGGCAGTTCACTTGAGGTGAGAAGTTCAAGACCAGCCTGGGGAATGTAGTCAGACCTCATCTCTATTATAAAAAAATATTTTTTGGCCGGGCGCAGTGGCTCACGCCTGTAATCCCAGCACTTTGGGAGGCCGAGGCAGGTGGGTCACGAGGTCAGGAGACCGAGACCATCTTGGCTAACATGGTGAAACCCCATCTGTACTAAAAATACGAAAAATTAGCCGGGCATGGTGGCAGGTGCCTGTAGTCCCAGCTACTCGGGAGGCTGAGACAGGAGAATGGTGTGAACCCAGGAGTCGGAGCTTGCAGTGAGCTGAGATCCGGCCACTGCACTCCAGCTTGGGTAACAGAGCAAGACTCTGTCTGAAAAAAAAAAAAAAGAGAAAAAAATATATATTTTTAAAAAGTAGGACTGATCTGAATTCATTCAACTGCTAAATTTGGAGAGTGACCCCTGATTGCTGAAAGGGCTTCACCACACCAGCCAGAATGAGGAAATGGAGCCTGTAAGAGAGTGAGGTTACGGAGTGTTCACAAATGCAAATCAAGGCTCCAAGACGAGACTCCTGGGGTTCCAGTGAGCTCGGGCATCATTCAATCTATCGCCTGTCCGTGCAGGTGTGGTCAAGGCCAAGTTCAATCTGTCATCTATCAGTGCAGTGTGGTCAAGGCCAAGGTTATCTGTGACTGGAAAACAGCCAGCCTGACCCAGGTGACACAGTGCAGGCCACGCAGGCCTTCCCACCCAACTCACCGTGGGATGCTGGCCAAACCACCCCTCCTCACCTCAGCTTTCTTCTCCAGCCGTGTGCGGCAGCACAAAAACCCAGCTAAGGCAAAATCTGACTCTGTGGAAATCTGACATGGGCTTGAGAGAAGTCCCCTCAAAAGAGCTGAGTGAGCTGTGGAGTGAAAAGTCACATTTTTTTTTTTTTTTTTTGAGACTGATTCTTGCTCTGTCACCCAGGCTGGAGTGCAGTGGCGCAATCTCGGCTCACTGAACCTGTGCCTCCCAGTTTCAAGTGATTCTCCTGCCTCAGCCTCCCAAGTAGTTGGAATTAAAGGTGCCTGCCACCACGCCCAGCTAATTTTTGTATTTTTAGTAGAGATGGCGTTTCACCATGTTGGCCAGGCTGGTCTCAAACTCCTGACCTCATGTGATCCACCCACCTCGGCCTCCCAAAGAGCCGGGGCCCTGAGCCACCGCGCCTGGCCTCCCAGAGTGCCGGGGTTGCAGCCCTGAGCCACCATACCCGGCCTGGCCAGCATATTTTTTTGTGGCGGGAGGTAGATGCTATCTTTCATCTTCTCTTGAGGCAATCTGTAGAAAATCTCTACACATTTCCTTCATGATGACACGGTGGTACTATAGCTTCTCACACTTCAAAAAGTATTTTTTTTTTCTTACACAGAGTCTCGCTCTGTCGCCCAGGCTGGAGTGCCTCACGCGATCTCAGCTCACTGCAAGCTCCGCCTCCCAGTTTCACACCATTCTCTGGCCTCAGCCTCCTGAGTAGCTGGCACTACAGGCGCCCACCGCCACGCCCAGCTGTTTGTATTTTTAGTAGAGACCGGGTTTCACCATGTTAGCCAGGATGGTCTCGATCTCCTGACCTTGTGATCTGCCCGCCTACGGCCTCCCAAAGTGCTGGGATTACAGGCTGAGCCGCTGCACTGGGTCCTGCAAAAAGTATTTTTAAAAGCATGCCCATCACACCAGCCCAACGTTTCAGCAAATGCAGGACTTCATTCTGCCAGATTCATCCTGTTCTTTAGTATCCCTGAGCACAGAGCCGGCCCCAGGTGGAGAAGGTCAGAACCAGGGTGTTCCATTGCCTGGAGCCCCTTGCCTTGGGCTGGCTCCTGCTCAGACCTCTGCCTCTCCATCTGGAGAATGGACACAAAGAGCTGCTGTGACCAGGGCCTGGCACTTAGGGAACACTTTTGTCTGAGCTCTTCTCATTCGTCCTGATGCTGTTTGGAGAGAGGGGGTGCAACTGTCACTTTTTCTTGTGCCCTCTGACCCGATATTCCAGGGCCCGAAAGCCCGAACAGGCATCGCTCAGTCCCCTCTACCGAGTTGGCGGGGAAGGGCACCTGACGCTGAAGAGTGCCAGGGGCGGAGAGAAGGGTCCTGGGTCGGTGGTCAGGGGTCGAGGCTCAGGGCAAGGGATCCTGGGTCAGGGGTCTAGGTCTTGGGTCCATGGTTGGGGGTCGGAGGTCGAGGCCCCGGGGAAGGCGTACCGGGTTGAGAGTTGGGGGTGGCGGCCTGGGGAAGGGGTCCCGAATCGGGGGTCGGGGGTCGAGGCCCGGGAGAAGGGGTCCCAGGTCGAGGGTCGAGGCCCGGGGTAAAGGATCCCGGGTTGGGGGTCGGGGCTGGGGAAGGGTCCCGGTCGGCGGCCGGGAGTCGAGGCCCGGGAGAAGGGGTCCCGGGTGGGTGGTCGAGTCCCCAGGGGAGAGGTCCCGGGTCGGGGATCGAGGGTCGAGGCCCGGGGGAAGGGGTCCCGGGTCGGTGGTTGAGGCCCCGGGGAAGGGGTCTGGGTCGGGGATCGGGGGTTGAGGCCCAGGAGAAGGGGTTCCGGGTCGGTGGTCGAGGCCCTGGGGAAGGGGTCCCGGGTCTGGGATCGAGGGTCGAGGCCCGAGAGCTCTCCCGAGCCCCGCCCGCGGCCCCAGGTGGGCGGAGCCCACGCCAGTGGGAGAAGCGGCCCCGCCCCGCGCGCGAGTCCCCGGAGGACGGCCGCGACCTCTTACCGTCCATGGCCACAATGACAGGAGCAGCACTCGGAGAGAGAGAAGGGACGGCGACTCCGGGCGGCGTCAGGTCCCGGCTGCGATCGAACCGACCAAGCTGCACCCGGCGGGGACTTCCGGGGTCACCGCCCCGCTTCCGGTCGCACGGGCTGCTCTCGCGAGAGGATGGTGGCCGGTCCCGCGAGAGGAGCGGGGCGGGGCTGCGCGGCGCGCGGTCGCCATGGTGACGCGCGCCGCGCCCGCGAGGACTTCTTGTCGGTCGTTCAGGGCTGCGCGGCCGCGGAGGTGCGGGGACCCGGGCTTGCGCCGGCGGGGGCGGTGGGCTCACCTATGGGCCTTTCCAAAAGCAAACAGAAACCCAGGAAAGGTAAAGGGGGCGCAGGCGCTGGGCTCCCCGCGTCTCCGCCCCTCGGCGCGGGCCCAGGGCGGGGCTGGGCGGGGCGGCGCGAGCGCAGGCGCCGACCTCGGCCCGGGGCGAACCGTTCCTGCCGCCGAGTCCGCCACGGACGGCGCCTTAAGTGTCTTCCCGCCTGAGGCGGTTACGGAAACGGAGAGACTCGAGACTGAAGCCAGCTTATTCTAGACCCAAACAGGCGACTGAAGACGATGGGACCCACTGCCCTGGATTCGGTAAGTCCCGGGTCTGACGCGTGATCCGTATGTTTCAGGTGAGGAGCAAAAGAAGGAATCCATCTATTCGGTTCCAAAATCTAAGGATAAGTTGATGGAGAAGCATTCGCAGGAAGCCAGGCAGGCAGACAGGGAGTCGGAGAAGCCTGTGGACAGCCTCCACCCGGGGTCCGCGGCAGCCAAGCACCCGTCGCCGGCGGCTTCGCAGGAAGGTAGGAGACGGCGGGAGGGAGCGAAGCGAGGTCAGCGGCTTGGAGGATCTGGGGCTGGGGTGAGGAGCCTATACCGGATGGACACTAGTAGCAGGCACGCGCCCTAAAGTTGAAACTGGTTTGTTTTAGGAACTTTAGGAGGTAAATATCCAGAATTCTTGGTTGAAAACGTAAGTTTAATGAAAATGTAAGTCAGTTCCCGAGTGAAAAGTGTGTACCAGGTGGTCGAGGGGCTGAAGCAGTGTGCGTGTGTCTCACCTGAGGTTCTCCTGGAGGGCTGGGCATGGTGGTGCCACCGGGAATCCCTCAGCCTCCGCACACTGGAACAGAGCCTTGGGAGGCCGTCCCAGGCTGGAGTGTAGCTCTCCGAGGGCTGCTGGCGCAAGCACATTGTGGAGGGTGACTGAGGGGTAGAACCTGGGTGCGACAAAGGCGTCCTTTATAACAGCCTAGTGTGACCAGACCTTTGGGTGTGTGTGGGGAAGATGAGGCCCTAACCGTAGGAAGAAGCTAGAATACAAAGTTTTCCGTCAGTTTTACCACATGGAGCTGGAAGTGTTAAATAGTTTAAACAACGGAGATGCTGCCTGGCGCAGTTAAACCTGTCGTCCCAAGGCCGGGCGCGGTGGCTCAAGCCTGTAATCCCAGCACTTTGGGAGGCCGAGACGGGCGGATCATGAGGTCAGGAGATCGAGACCATCCTGGCTGACACGGTGAAACCCCGTCTCTACTAAAAAATACAAAAAACTAGCCGGGCGAGGTGGCGGGCGCCTGTAGTCCCAGATACTCGGGAGGCTGAGGCAGGAGAATGGCGTGAACCCGGGATGTGGAGCTTGCAGTGAGCTGAGATCTGGCCACTGCACTCCAGCCTGGGCGGCAGAGCGAGACTCCGTCTCAAAAAAAAAAAAAAAAAAAAAAAAAAAAAAAAACCTGTCGTCCCAGCTACTTGGCGGACTGAGGCAGGAGGATCTTTTGAGCCCAGAAGTTCAAGACCAGTTTGGGCAACATAGTGAGACCTGTCTCTACAAAAAACAAATATTTAAAAATAAAAAACGAGGGCGGCATGATGGGGTCTGTGCCTACCAACAGGGAAGCAAGTTCCCAGGGGAGGTGGCCCCATCAGAGACCCATTGCTGTTGGCCCAGTGGGAGCCAGCAAGGCCTTGCAGTAAGAATTTCAGAAGGGTCAAGCAGGCAGAACCCGCAGAGCCTGTCATCTGAGGAGATTGGGGGCCTGTGCGAGGAGGAAGTGTTTCAGTTTCATCACAAGAATGAACCACTCGGCCGGGCACGGTGGCTCACGCCTGTAACCCCAGCACTTTGGGAGACCAAGGTGGGTGGATCACTTAAGGTCAGGAGTTCAAGACCAGCCTGGCCAACATGGTGAAACCCCATCTCTACTAAAAATACAAAAATTAGCTGGGCATGGTGGCATCTGCCTGTCATCCCAGCTACTCAGGAGGCTGAGGCGGAGAATTGCTTGAACCGGGACCTGGGAGGCGGAGGTAGCAGTGAGCGGGATCGCGCCACTGTACTCCAGCCTAGGCTATAGAGTGAGACTGTCTCAAAAAAAAAAAAAAAAAAAAAAAAAAAAAAAAGAACCACTCGGGTCAGACAAGAAAGAGTGTCGGGAATGACTGGCCTGCTAGGCAGAGGAGCTGGGTCTGGACTGGTTCAGATAGGCTTGTGGGATCAAGAGCTGGAAGTAGGAGGCTCTGGGCCTTGGACTTGGAAGAAAGGCCTGGATTTGAATTCCTAGCTTTGAAACCTCTCGCTAGAGGGTGGAAGTCTGCAGGAATAGCATCACCTTAGGGTGGCAGTTTGGAAAATGCTACCTGTCTGTCAGGGTGCTTTTAGCTGAAAGTTACAGAAAAGCTAAGTAAACACAGTTTTAACGCAGGGATTTAATGTCTCACAAATGAAGGGTCAGAGGCAGGGCTTCCAGGTTGGCTTGTTAGCACAGCCGTGACATCAAGGGCTTTGCATGTCTCTTCCTGACCACTCTCAGTGTCCACAGCCCCCAGTGAGTGTACAGCCCCCACACGCAGGCAGGACTGCGTCTACTTCAAAGGCGTTGCTGCTTGCTTTATATTAGCAAGGAAACCTTTCCCAGGCTTCGCCTGCCCAGCCTCTCTAGGACACACTCAACAGTGCAGATTCCGCAGGGGCTGGAGGGAGCTGTGAAGCACAGCAGTGGGCAGGACCTCTACCAGCAACGGAAGTGGGGGAAGGAGGACCGCCTGTTGGAAAGGCGCCAGCAGTGCCTGTCACACCAGAGGTGTGGGAGGAAGGTGGACATGAAGGGAAAACAACAGAGTGAGGACAGAGTTTCAGGAGAGAAGATGAAGTGTGCACGCTCTCCGCGCGGTGACGGGCTGCACGACGGTGAGGAGCAGGCTGCTGACTCCTTTGCCACACCGTGAAGGATCCTGAAGGTGGGACGCTAAGTGAGAAAAGCCAGAGGAAAGACCACTCATACTGCAATTCCCTTTACATGAAATGTCCAGAAAAGACGAACACATTGCAGAGAGAAGCAGATGAGTGGTTGCTGGGCAGGAATGGGAGTCGACCACAGCTGAACACAAGGGGCCTTTGGAGGGTGACGGAAGTGGTTTAACCTGAATCTGAGCCTGGGAAGCAGTGCAGTTAGCAGTCCTGGTCCCTAAGCCCGTCCTGGGGACTTTGGAGGGTGATGGAAGTGGTTTAACCTGAATCTGAACCTGGGAAGCAGTGCAGTTAGCAGTCCTGGTCCCTAAGCCCTTCCTACAGGAGCCAGACTTGTGAGTGAACAAGCCGTCAGTGATTCCAGGCTCTGGCTGGATCCTGGAGTCGTCTCAGCTTGAGGTGTGCACCTCAGGGGGAGCCAGCATCAGTGTCCAGCCCTAAGAGCCGCCCTGGACGTCTCAGTGAGTCTTTAGATGCCTGCAGCTGCCTGGGCAACCACAGGTGATACCTGTCCTGCCAAACCTGTCCTGAACCCATAAAATCCAGAGAAAAGCAAGTAGTCGTTTTAAGCTGCTGAGGCTTGGGGTAAATTACTATGGAGCAGTAGTGACTAGAACGGAAGGGCCATGATGGGGAGACAGTTTGGCCGTGAGCTAATCACTGTGGCAGCTGTTGGGATATTGATATGGCTTGGCTGTGTCCTCACCCAAATCTCATGTTGAATTCCCACATGTGGGAAGAACTGGGTGGGAAGTGACTGAATCATGGGGGCAGGTCTTTCCCATGCTGTTTTCGTGATAGTGAATGAGTCTCACGAGATTCGATGGTTTTAAAAACGGGAGTTTCCTGCATAAGCGCTCTCTCTTCTCGCTGCCATCCGTGTAAGACGTGACTTGCTCCTCCTCGCCTTCCGCTGTGATTGTGAGGCCTCCCCAGTCATGTGGAACTGTAAGTCCATTAAACCTTTTTCCTGAATAAATTATTCAGTCTCTGGTATGTCTTTATTAGCAGCATGAAAACGGACCGATACAGATATATTATACTGTTATCATAACCACTGCTGTATATGCTTAAATTTTTGCGTTACAAAATTCACAAACATACAAACAGATCTAACACATCACAGATTTACAGTCAGCTTATTCCACAGTGTTGGAAATTCTACCACAAATAAAGAACTTGGGGAAAAAGGAAGGAAATGTTAGAAGGAAACCTGAGAGACCTAGAACCTGGGCTCAGTCACTCCTGAGACAGTCAGATTGGGTATTTGGGGATGAGTCAGTGTTAATTTTCTTAGATGTGGCAGTGCTATTGTAGTTATGCTAAAACACAATCCCTATCTGATAAAGAGGTATACTGCAACATTTATGGGTAAAATCATGTCTGAAATTACTTAAAGATACTCAGGACACTGGGCGCGGTGGCTCATGCTGTAATCCTAGCACTGTGGGAGGCCAAGGCGGGCGGATCACTTGAGTTCAGGAGTTCGCCTGGCCAACATGGCAAAACCCCGTCTCTACAAAAAATACAAAAAAATTAGCTGGGCGTGGTGGTGTGCACCTGTAATTCCAGCTAGTTTGGAGGCTGAGGCAGGAGAATCGCTTGAACCCAGGAGGCAGAGGTTGCAGTGAGCCAAGATCATCCCTGGGCGATGGAGCGAGACTCCATCTCAAAAAAGAGATAGGAAAAAAATGAAGAAAGAACAAGACAAGAAAATACTGATTGAGGCTGAGCGCTGCTTAGGTGCAATAGAAAATATTCTATTTTCTTGTGTGTTTGAACACTTTCTTTTTTCTTTTTTTTTTTTTGAGATGGAGTTTTATTTACTCTTGTTGCCCAGGCTGGAGTGCAGTGGTGCGATCTCAGCTTTCAGCTCACTGTAGCCTCTGCCGCCCAAATTCAAGAGATTCTCCTGCCTCAGCCTCCCAAGTAACTGGGATTACAGGTGCCCGCCACCATCCCCAGCTAAATTTTTTTGTATTTTTAGTAGAGATGGGGTTTCGCCACATTGGCCAGGCTGGCCTTGAACTCTTGGCTTCAGCTGATCCACCTGCCTCAGCCTCCCAAAATACTGGGATCACAGGCATGGGCCACCGTGCCCAGCTGGTTTAAACACTTTTGTAACTTTGTTTGTTTTGAGACTTTTGCCTCCCTGGTTCAAGCGATTCTTCTGCCTCAGCTTAAGGCAACCGCCACCATGGCTGGCTAATTTTTGTATTTTTAGTAGAGATGGGGTTTCACCATATTGGACAGGCTGATCTCAAACTCCTGACCTTGTTATCCGCCCGCCTCGGCCTCCCAAAGTGCCAGTATTACAGGTTTGAGCCACCGCGCCCGGCCTGTAACATTTTTATGAAGGTAGAGTATGCTTGATTGCAAGAAAATTTTGAATAAGAAGAAAAATGGAACACTTCTATGAGCTATTAAAAAATATCATGCTGAGTGAAAAAAGCCAATTGCAGAAGGTCACATGCTGTATGATTCAATTTCTTCTTTTTTTGAGATGGAGCCTCGCTCTGTCGCCCAGGCTGGAGTGAGTGGCGCGATCTCGGCTCACTGCAAGCTCCGCCTCCCGGGTTCGCGCCATTCTCCTGCCTCAGCCTCCTGAGTAGCTGGGACTACAGGTGCCTGCCATCACACCTGGCTTATTTTTTGTTGTATTTTTAGTAGAGACGGGGTTTCACCGTGTTAGCCAGGATGGTCTTGATCTCCTGACCTCGTGATCCTCCCGCCTCCGCCTCTCAAAAGTCCTGGGATTACAGGCGTGAACCACCGCGCCCGGCCCAAAACAAATTTTAAATGAGGTGGAAGGATCACTTGAGTCTGGGTGGTTGGGGCTTTGTTGAGTCTTGGTCGTGCCACCACCTGCTGCTGTCACGGGAGCCTTCGGGTGTCACTTTGCTGGAAACCTCTGTGACCGCAGCACTTCTGCCTGGGTTTTGCTCACAGCTGCTGGGCTTGTACTGTCCACTCAGCCAGCAGACTGCACTCGGCTCACACTCCTAGTCCAGATCCCACACCTGCAAATGGCGAGCCAGGTAGACAACAGTGAGCGGTGTGTGGGAGAGCAAGTGTGGGGTCTGGCCGCTGCGCACAGCCAGGCTTTAGGCCATCCCTGGCTTAAAGGTGGGGCTTCACTGGGGCCCTGCTCCTTTCTGCCCAAGAGCCTTTCTGCGTCCTGCTGCTATTAATCGTGTTGTCCGTGGTGTCCAGGCTGTTCGTGTGAGGGATGCCTGCAGGCTCAGGCTGGACTGCCCTCGGGTCCCCCTCACCTTTCTCCCCACGCTCGTCAGGACCTGAAGTCTGGAGGGGGATCGAGACGGTGGGGGCTGGCTTGTCAGCATTGCCTTGAGTGCATGTACACCTGGCCAGGTCATGGCAGTGCCTGGGCTTGGCCTCAACTTTGCTCTGAAATTGGAGTGGGCAGTGGGAATTGGAGTGGGCAGTGGAAATTGGAGCGGGCGGTGGGAGTCGGAGCGGGCGGTGGGAGTTGGAGCGGGCGGTGGGAGTCGAAGCGGGTGGTGGGAGTTGGAGCGGGCGGTGGGCATTGGAGTGGGCAGTGGGAATTGGAGTGGACATTGGAGTGGGCAGTGGGAATTGGAGCGGGCGGTGGGAGTCGGAGCGGGCGGTGGGAGTCGAAGCGGGTGGTGGGAATTGGAGTTGGCATGGGAATTGGAGTGGGCAGTGGAAGTGGGGAGAGACCAGACAGTGGGAGCAGGCACTGCTGAGCCTGCAGGGGTTGGGGGTGCTTCCTCGGCCCTGAGAGTACAGGGATGCCCAGGGCCATGGCTGTGGCTGGGTTGGGCCCCTGCCGCATCCACTCAGGAGGGGGGAGGCTCCTGCCTGTTCCGGTCTCCCGTGGGATCTGTGGAGCACGCAGCCCTGGCCACGCCTTGTCTGCTGCAGCTGATGCCTTTGCAGTGGCTGCTCCAGGTGGGCTGCGCCTGCCCTCACTGCCTGGGTCACCGGAGTGAGACCCTGACCCCCCCCAAAAAAAGAGAAAAAGTGGAAAATAGGCAAATGTTTTTATAAGTTTGGAATAGGGAACACCTTTCTAAGTTCATAGTCTCTTTGTGGAAATGTAAGTTGACGTAGTCTCTACAGAAAAGTTTGACAGTATTTACCAAAATTTGAAGTGAATTATACCCATTTACCCAGAAGTTCTAGTAATTTACCAATAGATAAACCCTCCAAAGAGTGTGAACACATAAATGCAAGAATGTTCACTGTAGCACTGTCTGAAAAAGATAAAAATTGGGAATAGGCTGGGCGCAGTGGCTCACACCTATCATCTCAGCACTTTGGAAACTGAGGCAGGAGGCTCCCTTAAGTCCAAAAGTTTGAGACCAGCCTGGGCAACACAAGGTGACCTCATCTCTACTGAAAAGAAAAAGAAGTGAGCCAGGTATGGTGGTGTGGGAATAATACGGTCCCACAGGTGAGATCTGTGGTCCCAGCTACTCAGGAGGCTGAGGTAGGAGGATCACTTGGGCCTGGGAGGTCAAGACTGTAGTTTGCTATGATCACATCTACGAATAGCCACTGCACTCCTTCCTGGGCTACAGAGTGAGACCCTGTCTGTAAAAATGGCAGAAAAGGGCTGGCACAGTGGTTCATGGCTGCTGTAATCCCAGCGCCTTGGGAGGGTGAGGTGGGAGAATAATAACTGGAGCCCGAGAGTTTGGGACCAGCCTGGGCAACATGGCAAAACCCTGAGTGTACAAAAAATTTTATTTTATTGTTTTTATTATTATTTTTTTTTGAGACCGAGTCTGGCTCTGTGGCCCAGGCTGGAGTGCAGTGGCGCGATCTCAGCTCACTGCAAGCTCCAGCTCCCGGGTTCACGCCATTCTCCTGCCTCAGCCTCCCGAGTAGCTGGGACTACAGGCGCCCGCCACCTCGCCCGGCTAATTTTTTGTATTTTTAGTAGAGACGGGGTTTCACCGTGTTAGCCAGGATGGTCTCGATCTCCTGACCTCATGATCCTCACGTCTCGGCCTCCCAAAGTGCTGGGATTACAGGCTTGAGCCACCGCGCCCGGCCTCAAAAAATTTTAAAATTAGCTGGGTGTGGTGGTGCATGCTGGTGGTCCCAGCTACTCGGAAGGCTGGAGTGGGAGGATCATTTGAGCCCAGGAAGTTGAGGCTTCAGTGAGCCATGATCATGCCACTGCATTTCAGCCTGGGCCACAGACCAAGATCCTGTCTCAAAAAAAGAAAAAGGGACATCTCTCAGTGCTTAATGCAGCTGTGGGGCATTCGGCAGCTGACACAGATGAGGCTCTGTAACACAGCACCGCAGGCAAGGGGAGAGGCCGAGGCCTGAATACCCCATCAGACGAGCCTTGGGCAGGCGACTTGGCCTCTCCACCTTCCCCATCTGGTTAGCCTTGGGCAGGCGAGTTGGCCTCTGTGGCTCCCTAGTCTGACGAGCCTTGGGCAGGTGGCTTGGCTTGTCTGTGTTAGTTTTGTCTGTGAAATGTGGGTTGTCAGAGACTATAGCAGAAGCTGCCGTGTGTCATTTTTCACTGTTCTAGGGCTCACAACAGGTACACGATAAAAGCCAGCACTGTCGGCCGGACGTGGTGGCTCACACCTGTAATCCCAGCACTTTGGGAGGCCGAGGCGGTGGATCACCTGAGGTCGGGAGTTTGAGACCAGCCTGGCCAATGTGGAGAAACCCCATCTCTACTAATAATACAAAAATTACCTGGACGTGGTGGCGGGAGCCTGTAGTCCCAGCTGCTCGGGAGGCTGACGCAGGAGAATCACTTGAACCCGGGAGGCAGAGGTTGCGGTGAGCCGAGATCACACCACTGCACTCCAGCCTGGGTGACAGAGGCGAGACTCGGTCTCAAAAACTACTAATCATAAAATAATAAACCGGCACTGCCATTGCCAGCTGTCCATCCTACCTCGCATCCAGGTTCGTGAGCTGTCAAGTGTCCCCACAAAGCTGTAGAACAACATACCCACTGTAGTTATGTTTCTGTGAAAAGGTGACTGTGAGTCTTCTAACCCTGTACCACACACACGTGTGCAGAGCGAGCGAGCTCCGTCCTGCCCTCCCAGAAGTCCGTAGCATGACAGTCCAGGAAGGGGGCGGGTGGACAGCCAGGAGAGCAGCCGGCGAAGGAGAACTTCCGCTTCGCACTTGGCAATGCTCGGCAGGCTCAGCAGTTTCACAGGTGTCAGGCGTTCCTTGTAACCTTAACAAGTTTCAGAAAATGTGAGAGGCCAGGCGCGGTGGCTCAAACCTGTAATCCCAGCATTTTGGGAGGCCGAGACGGGCGGATCACGAGGTCAGGAGATCGAGACCATCCTGGCTGACACGGTGAAACCCCGTCTCTACTAAAAAATACAAAAAACTAGCCGGGCGAGGTGGCGGGCGCCTGGAGTCCCAGCTACTCGGGAGGCTGAGGCAGGAGAATGGCGGGAACCCGGGAGGCGGAACTTGCAGTGAGCTGAGATCCGGCCACTGCACTCCAGCCTGGGCGGCAGAGCCAGACTCCGTCTCAAAAAAAAAAAAAAAAGAAAATGTGAGCAACATCAGAAATGTTCATTTCTAGAACATTCTAATGAATAAAGTTCTGGACAGAGGGCTTTACCAGAATTAGAAAGCTTTGAAGTGGAAATGATGTCTCTGAACCTTGAGCTCTGAGGCGGCCCCTGCCGGGACATGTGCCCTCTCTCCTTCCGGTGCCGGTCGCCCTGACGCCATCCTGCCGCGGACGGTGGAAGTGTTTCTCCCGTTTTCTTCCCTGAAAAAGGGTGTCCAGCATCAGCAACCCTCATGGCTGAGTTGCAAATCCATGAAGCCCTGGAATGTTCATGGACAGTTTTGATCACTTTTGGACTCACCCATTTCTTCTGCTAACCATACATCTAATTCCTTTCCTCTGACCAATGGCAGGAGGTGGAAGGAGCTTTCCACACATCTACTAAATGCCTGGATGTTTTTTCCTCTAGAGAAACCTGATGTAAAGCAAAAGTCCAGCAGGAAGAAAGTGGTCGTTCCACAGATCATCATCACGCGAGCGTCAAACGAGACACTCACCAGCGGCAGTTCCAGCGGGAGTGACCAACAGAGAACCATTCGGGAGCAGGAGGACTGGGGCCCCTACTGGCGGCACAGGAACCCCAGCACAGTAGATGCCTACAGTTCACATCTCAAAGAATAAACAAGCACCCTTGCATGGCACTCGTTACTCCCTGCAATAGGCGTCTCAGGAAGGGCCGCCCCACCCTGTGAGAAGCCAAGGCTCCTTCTCCAGTGATCTCGGGGAGGGTGGCACCAGGCCTGCCCCACCTGTGAGAAACCACAGCCCCCTTCTCCAGTGATCTCGGGGAGGGTGGCACCAGGCCTGCCCCACCTGTGAGAAACCACAGCCTCCTTCTCCAGTGATCTCGGGGAGGGTGCACCAGGCCTGCCCCACCTGTGAGAAACCACAGCCCCCTTCTCCAGTGATCTCGGGGAGGGTGGCACCAGGCCTGCCCCACCTGTGAGAAACCACAGCCCCTTCTCCAGTGATCTCGGGGAGGGTGCACCAGGCCTGCCCCACCTGTGAGGAACCACAGCCCCCTTCTCCAGTGATCTCGGGGAGGGTGTACCAGGCCTGCCCCACCTGTGAGAAACCACAGCCCCTTCTCCAGTGATCTCGGGGAGGGTGGCACCAGGCCTGCCCCACCTGTGAGGAACCACAGCCCCCTTCTCCAGTGATCTCGGGGAGGGTGTACCAGGCCTGCCCCACCTGTGAGAAGCCAAGGCCCCTTCTCCAGTGATCTCGGGGAGGGTGTACCAGGGCCACCCCACCTGGCTGTGAGGAACCAAGGCCCCTTCTCCAGTGATCTCAGGGAGGGTGCACCAGGCCTGCCCCACCTGTGAGAAACCAAGGCCCCTTCTCCAGTGATCTCGGGGAGGGTGCACCAGGCCTGCCCCACCTGTGAGGAACCACAGCCCCCTTCTCCAGTGATCTCGGGGAGGGTGGCACCAGGCCTGCCCCACCTGTGAGAAACCAAGGCCCCTTCTCCAGTGATCTCGGGGAGGGTGGCACCAGGCCTGCCCCACCTGTGAGAAACCAAGGCCCCTTCTCCAGTGATCTCGGGGAGGGTGGCACCAGGCCTGCCCCGCCTTGGAGAAGCTGCGGCCCCTTCTCCAGTGCCGTTTGGTCCTGCCTTCCCCAAAGCTGCTTACAGCTCAGTCGAGGCAAGAGTGACTGGCTCAGAGAGCAAGCTTTGTGGTGATAAATGAATAAATTAGTATGTTCATGTTGGAAGTGGCTGGCTGTGCAGAGTGATGGACAGCAGATGGCATCTTACATTCTGATTCGCGGTGGACAGTTAAAACACTTGCCTTTGTTTCAGAAGGAGACGATGTGAATACTTGGAAGTTATAGTGAATAAGATGCCCCCAAACTTGAGGAAAAGGTCAGATTCTAAGAGCTAAACATTAAGATGTAATGTTCCAGAACAAAGAGGTACAAAGTCGACTCACGGGCCCCAGGGCTCCTTGCTTGACTGTAATCTGACTCAGCTTATTAAAAGGCCCTAAAGAAGAATGTGGAGTGTGTGCTGGGGGCATGGGATAGCCATAGCACTGAGGCTTTGGAAGTGGCCTTGCCAACGCTGTCCTGTCTTTCTGCCCACAGATGAGGGCTCCTGAGTGTGGAAGGCCATGGAAGGGACCTGAGTACAACGGCATGAGACAAGTTATCAGGTGGCTGCACCCTCTCCAGCAACCCTCAGCTCAGGCTAGACTTCCCCCTGTGTTGAGAAGGCTCTGCCCTGTCTGGAAGCCTGATGCGTTTAGTGACAGTGTGGTTGCTTTATTAGTTTCCAGTCTGGCCAACAAGCTTCCCATGCAGTCTCCCGTTGGCTTGTTTCAGTGGCCAGCGGAGAGTCCTGGACACAGACTTGTCAGGTGCCAGCGGGAGGGAGCCTGCTGCCTGCCACACACATACAATTTCTAATCCATACAGGCCTATGTAGTATATACACACATACACAGAGCCTTAGGAATCGGGAAAGGCCAGTCAAAACCTGGGACGCTAATTTCACTCTGCCACAAGAAAAAAAATAAGCTGAAAGATGAGTCACGCAAGAAACTGCTTCCTTTTTGTTCCTAAGCAGAGAGCTACAAATAACAAGTTAAAGTCTCTCCACAGGTAGCTACTCCTTGTTCACCTTGTGTGAAGTGCCAATGTGTTTTTTAATACTTTAAGTTCGACAGTACATGTGTACAACGTGCAGGTTTGTTACATATGTATACATGTGCCATGTTGGTGTGCTGCACCCATTAACTCGTCATTTACATTAGGTGTTTCTCCTAATGCTATCCCTCCCCACTCCCCATACCCCACAACAGGCCCTGGTGTGTGATGTTCCCCTTCCTGTGTCCAGGTGATCTCATTGTTCAATTCCCACCTATAAGGGAGAACATGCGGTGTTTGGTTTTCTGTCCTTGCGATAGTTTGCTGACAATGATGGTTTCCAGCTTCATCCATGTCCCTACAAAGAACACGAACTCATCCTTTTTTATGACTGCATGGTATTCTATGGTGTATATATGCCACGTTTTTTTAATCCAGTCTATCATTGATGGGCATTTGGGTTGGTTCCAACATGGAGAAACCCCATCTCTACTAATAATACAAAAATTAGCCGGGCGTGGTGGTGGGAGCCTGTAATTTGGAGATACTCCATCTCCAAAACTAATAGTAATAAACCAGCACTGCCATTGTGTAGTATACACACACACACACAGTCTTTGCTATTGTGAATAGTGCTGCAATAAACATATGTGTGCATGTGTCTTTATAGCAGCATGATCCTTACATCTTATAATCCTTTGGGTATATACCCAGTAATGGGATGACTGGGTCAAATGGTATTTCTAGTTCTAGATCCTTGAGGAGTCGCCACACCGTCTTCCACAATGGCTGAACTAGTTTACAGTCCCACCAACAGTGTAAAAGTGTTCCTGTTTCTCCACATCCTCTCCATCACCTGTTGTTTCCTGACTTTTTAGTGATTGCCATTCTAACTGGTGTGAGATGGTATCTCATTGTGGTTTTGTTTTTTTGTTTTTTTTTTTTTTTGAGACGGAGTCTGGCTCTGTTGCCCAGGCTGGAGTGCAGTGGCCGGATCTCAGCTCACTGCAAGCTCCGCCTCCCGGGTTCACGCCATTCTCCTGCCTCAGCCTCCCGAGTAGCTGGGAGTACAGGCGCCCGCCACCTCGCCCGGCTAATTTTTTTTTGTATTTTAGTAGAGACGGGGTTTCACCGTGTTAGCCAGGATGGTCTCGATCTCCTGAACTCGTGATTCGCCCGTCCCGGCCTCCCAAAGTGCTGGGATTACAGGCTTGAGCCACCGCGCCCGGCCCTCATTGTGGTTTTGATTTGCATTTCTCTGATGGCCAGTGATGATGAGCATTTTTTCATGTGTCTGTTGGCTGCATAAATGTCTTCTTTTGAGAAGTGTCTGTTCATATCCTTCACCCAGTCCATCAAAAAGTGGGTGAAGTGCCAATTTACTGAGCATGAGACAAATACATAATTGACTCCTTTTGTCTTGTGACACGTGGATTCAAGGAGGTACCATGCCCTCCCTCCTTCCCCTCCAGCCCCTTTAAACACTGAAGCCCTCAGCATCATCTTTGGAGGAAGGTACAGACTTGGCTGTCATGCACACATCCTTAACCTTGGCCAAATAAACCTCTAAGGTGACTGAGAGCTGTCTCAGATACTTGTTGGCTTAACAAGTTGGCGACCATGCAGGGACTCAGAGTGGAGGTGGCCCCACCCTTTGACAGAGTTTCTGCTGGTGCTTAGGACCAGTTTGGGCTTTCAATATTTATTGCTCAGGACAATGGGACAATTGGCTGAGATTGGGGGCCCCGCCACCCTGCAGAGAATCTCTGATCTCCCGGAACTTGGTTGAGGTCTGAGGTTTATTTTGCGTGCAACGCCTTTCCCTTTTCTGGTGTTTCACTTGCTTCCAACAAAGAAGGCGAGTTTCCTGCTTCCGTAATGATGGGGAGCAGGAGAGTTCCCTGGAGTTTCCAGGATGGTAGAGAGCAGTCTAAAGCCTGGGCCCCGTTCCTAGGTAAGTAGCAGAATTGGGGTTCTGTCTTGGAAGTCCTCAATGACTAAAGCTAAGATGAACAACTGGCTGGTCTTAATTTCTTAGTATGCTCAGTAAATGTATAAATTGTGGGATTGTTTGTTTTGCTTAACTGCTTTTTATTTGTTTCTGTGTTTGCTATTTTTGCTGTTGCAGTCTTTTTCCCATTGGATTTGATGAACTCTGTTAGACTTGGTCAGATCTGAAGGAAACTTCCAAATTGTGGGAAACGAGGCCTCTGAATTAACTGAATTCCCACAGCTGGGAAAAAGGAAAAATAAGAAGCCAGAAAAAGGGAAAACGAGATTTTGACCACCTGATGGGCTTTATTTGCATAACAAGGCCACCTTTTCCCAGCCAAGCCCGAAGAGTAAGTGCCATCACCTCATGCTGCAGTTCAGTGGGTAGAGTCGGCCGTTTTTCCACCAGGACAGCCCAGGTTTGCTTCCTACACCGTTTCTGGTTTGAAATTTGTGTTACTTTTGAAATATCAGCAATTTGTCCCAGCTGAAATAAGATAGTGAGATTTAAAGATTTAAAAGGAATTTTTTTTTTTATTGAGACGGAGTCTCACTCTGTTGCCCAGGCTGGAGTGCAGTGGCGTGATCTCAGCTCACTGCAACCTCTGCCGCCCAGGTTCACGCCATTCTCCTGCCTCAGCCTCCCAAGTAGTTGGGATTACAGGCACTAGCCACTGCACCTGGCTAATTGTTGTATTTTTAGTAGAGACGGGGTTTCACCATCTTGACTAGGCTGGTCATGAACTCCTAACCTTGTGATCCACCCTCCTTGGCCTCCCAAATTGCTGGGATTACAGGCATGAGCCACTGCGCCCAGCCAAGAGGATTTTTAAAAGGGTTTAATGGTCAAAAGTAAACCTAAAGCTAATATCCGACATATTAGCTTAATTAAGTCCGTATGCCACATACACATATACAGACCCCTGTGTAGAAGAGAAGGCACCAGACTCCTTTTTGGGGAGAAAGTTCTGTTTTTCTTACGGAACCCCAAGAGTGGAAACAAACACGTTCCTCTCAGATCTTAAATTGCTTGCTATTGTATTGTGTTACCTCATTTTTTTTTTTTACTAAAATAGTTGACACAGGACTTTTTGGGGTGCTGCTTCTCCAGCTGGAGGCCTGTGTGGCCAGTGGTGCTCCTACCTGGGTCTCGCTGGGCTCCAGGCTTGCCACTGGAGGTACCCCGCCCACCTAGCCCGGCCGTGGGATCTGCGCTCAGCCCGTGACTGGACTGCGCTTGCCACAACCTGCTTCTGCCTTGGGCACTGGTGTCTGGAGAGGGGGAATGTGCAGGCACCCAAAACGTGGAGATGCTGGGAGCCGCAGAGCCAAGGATGCCACAGCGTCATTGTTCCCACTGCATGCGGTCTGGTGAGTGGGGTGTGTTACAGTGTCACCCCCCCCCTTTTTTTTTTTTTTTTTGAGACGGAGTCTCGCTCTGTCCCCCAGGCTGGAGTGCAGTGACCGGATCTCAGCTCACTGCAAGCTCCGCCTCCCGGGTTTACGCCATTCTCCTGCCTCAGCCTCCCGAGTAGCTGGGACTACAGGCGCCCGCCACCTCGCCCGGCTAATTTTTTGTATTTTTAGTAGAGGCGGGGTTTCACCGTGTTAGCCCGGATAGTCTCGATCTCCTGACCTCGTGATCCGCCCGTCTCGGCCTCCCAAAGTGCTGGGATTACAGGCTTGAGCCACCGCGCCCGGCCTCTTTTTTTTTTTTTTGAGACAGAGTCTCACTCTGTCGCTAGGTCAGAGTGCAGTGGCACAGTCTTGGCTCACTGCATCCTCTGCCTCCTGGGTTCAAGCGATTCTCCTACCTCAGCCTCCTGAGTAACTGGGACTACAGGTGCGTTGCCACCACGCCCAGCTAATTTTTTTTTGGACAGTTTCGCTCTTGTTGCCCAGGCTGGAGTGCAATGGCGTGATCTTGGCTCACCGAGACCTCCGCCTCCCAAGTTCAAGCAATTCTCCTGCCTCAGCCTCCCGAGTAGCTGGAATTACAGGCGTGCGCCACCACGCCTGGCCGATTTTTTGTATTTTTAGTAGAGACGGGATTTTACCATGTTGGCCAGGATGGTCTTGATCTCTTGACCTCATGATCCGCCCACCTCAGCCTCCGAAAGTGCTGGGATTACAGG